ACCCCCCATCCATCCACCCAATATCCACCCAACATCCACCCTCTACCCATCCTTCCATCCATCCAGTATCCACCCACCACCCACTCACCATCCACTCCCCATCCATCCATCCAATATCCATCCACCATCCACTCACTATCCACCCCCATCCATCCACCCAATATCCACCCACCATCCACCCAATATCCACCCACCATCCACTCACCATCTACCCCCCATCCATCCACCCAATATCCACTCACCATCCACTCACCATCCACACACCCATCCATCCATCCAGTATCCACCCACCCATCCACCTGCCCATCTATCCATCCATCCAATATCCACCCACCTACTCACCCATGCATCCTTCATCCGCTACCCATAGACCCATCTACTTACCATCCACCCACCCATTCATCCACCCGCCCTCCCACCACCCATCCACTCTTGCATCTCCCTACCCATCCATCGACTGCCCATCCATTCATTCACCCCTCCACCAATCAAAGTACCCATTCACTCACCACTCACCCCATCTTTTTTCTTTACCCCTGTTTAAAGGACTCAATCACACCCAGAGCAGTGTGTAATAAGACACCCAAGAGAGGAGTCCACAGGTTGCCTGGGCAAAAGGGAATCCATGGGCTTGAGGGAAGGGAAGAGGCCCTCATCTAGGGGGCTGCTTCCTGGAAGAGATGATGATCTACAAGCAGGGCCTGACAGCCAGGCAGGATATTTCACGGCAGCAGCAGGAAAAGAGGCTATGTCCCCTAGACAGGGCCAAGGCCGGGAAGCGGGAGGCGCGTGCATGAACCAGTGTGTGTGCGCGTGCGCGAACCCAGGTGCCTTGGTGGCTCCTCAGCGTGTCTGGGACACACACGGCCTCTCCTTTCTCCCACACACCAAGGCTCAGGGGCGAGGAGCCCGAGGCCCTAAGGGGAGCCTCCAGCCCAGGCCTCCCTCACCTCCCTCCTCGCCTACCTCCTGCAGCTCCAGTGACTCCAGCACCAGGCCACCGTGTCACTGCCAGCTCTGGTTACTGGCTCCCAGCTGGGCCACCGGCTCACATCAGCAGCTCGGAGCGCTCAGCTCTGACACCCGATCGGCTCTGAGAGGGCGGCCGCCCCAGGGGACCAGGGATGAGCTGAGGGAGGAGACAGGCTGGCAGCGGAGCTGCCTGTGCCAACGGGCTCTGGCGGGAAGACACCAACCTTCTTCCCTAACATCGCTGGACCGATTTCAGTTTCTGGAATGAGCCACGCTCTTCCTCCCCTCCCAGCCTTTGCACCTGCTGTTCCCTCCACCAGGAGCACTCTTTCTGTACCCTGGTTCACCCCCAACCGGCTCTTTCTCCTCATCTCACTCCTACTCACTCTTCAGATCTTTGCTGCAACGTCCCCTCCTCCAGGAAGCCTTCCCGGATGCCCCCAGGCTGGGTCAAGTGCCCCCTCTGAGCTCCCTCATTGCCCGGTGCCCTCTGTGTCCCTCATTGCAGCCCGATCACACTAAGTCACCATTGCGCGGTCACCTGTTCATGTCCACCTCTAGCCACAAAGCGACACCTTTGTTCTCCGGTGTCTCCCCAGCACACAGTAGGTGTTCAGTACGTGTTTCTTAAATGAGTCAAGTGGAGATTACCATCCGTCTGGATAATATGAGGCCCCAAATTCCTGCCCGCTCCCCACCCCGGCGCAGATACCCTGCATTTGTAACTTTATAAACTTCTGAAATGTGCAGCGGAAAGAACTTTGGACCGGAAGCACGAGTCCTGGGTCCCTTCTCCCTGGCTCTGTCCTCAAGAAGAGGCAGGAGGGGGGCATCAGTTACCCATTTGTAAAACAAGGGATCGGGGGCACCGATTGCCGTGCCCCTCATCTTAGAGGTGATCAGAGAACTCCCACTTGGGCGGCCGCCCCAGTTTCCCGCCCTCTGCAAGCGCAGATAAGGAGGCAAGCTTCTTTTGCCAGCAGTTAAGATGGCGCCTGCGGCGTCATTGCGACGCGCATGCGCCCTGGAGGGAGAGGCCGGGCACGTAGGACGGGAATGCGGCTCCCCCTCTCTCCTCCCCGTCCCGCCCCGTTTCCGGCGGAAGCGGCCTCAACAAGGGAAACTTTATTGTTCCCGTTGGGGCGGCAAGGATGTCGGTGAATTACGCGGCGGGGCTGTCGCCTTACGCGGACAAGGGCAAGTGCGGCCTTCCCGAGGTGAGCGCGGCGGGGGGTCCGGAAGGCCGCCCCCAGGGCCGCGGGCTGGGCGGGGCCGGGCGGCAGCGGGGCATTGTGGGAATATCAGGAGGCACTGAGGCTAGACTATGGGAGGGACTTCCCAGTGAGGAGGGGGCGGGAAGTGACGCCCCCTGCGCGCCCGGGGCCGCGGACACGCCCAGCTCCGGGTGGCCCGGGCTGGGACAGAGGGAAAGACCCGCGTAGGGGAAGTCCTGAAGTTCTGATGGGGGAGCAGGGGCCGTAGCTGCGGGCGGAAGGCACTGCAGAGGGCAGAGGCAGGGAGGTGGGAATAAACACATTTTGGAGAAAAGATTACACCAGAGAGGTTTCCAGAGCCAGGCCAGGACGGGCCTCAAATGCCAGGCTGGGGAGATGACCCTGTCCCGAGGGTGATGGGAAAGGGTTTTGAGCTGGGGAGGGACCTGGAGGATGTAAGTCAGAAAGACCCCTCCAGCCACTCCCAGAGGAAGTCCCTTCCATACACTGAGACCTCGGGTGAGTCACTTCCCCTTCTGTAAACTGGGGGGAAGATGCCCCCGTCCCATAAAGGCTGGTCCGTTCATTCCCAGTCAGACATTGAATGAGCTCTCAGACGGTGCGAATCCCTCCTGAAGCCCCACTCTTCTCTCCTGCCTCTTATTCACTTTATTCCACAAACATTTATTGAGCACCGACTGTGCACCGTGCACTGTCTAGGCCCTGGGGCCACAGCAGGGAACAAGACAGACAGAAACCCCTCATTCTAGCAGGGAGACCCACAAGGAACAAGGAAATATCGGAAGTCAGAGGGTGGGAAGTAAAGCTGGGAGTGAGGAGGAGAGGGCTTGCTGCATGGAAACCAGGTGGTCTGGGAGGCATCATGGAGTTGACTTTTTTTTCCCCAATTTTTTTTATTGTGGTAAAATACACATAACATGAAATTTACCATCTTCACCATTTTTAAGTGTCCATTTCAGTGGCATGAAGCACATTCATATTGTTGTACAACCATCCCCCCCGTCCGTCTCCAGAACCTTCCGTCTTCCCACACTGAAACTCTGTCCCATGAAACACTGACTCCCGCTCCCCTCCCCCAGGCCCTGGCCCCACCATCTACTTTCTGTCTCTGTGGATGTGACTCCTCTAGGGACCTCCTGTGAAGGGATCACACAGTGTCTGTCCTTCTGTGTCTGGCTCATGTCACTGAGTGTCATGTCCTCAGGGTCCACCCATGTTGGAGCAGGTGTGAGAATCTCCTTCCTTTTCAAGGCTGAGTAATATTCCAGTGTGTGGATGGACCCCATTGTGTTTATCCATTCATCTGTCGATGGACACTTAGTTTGCTTCCACATTTTAGCTATTGTGAATAATGCTGCTATGAACATGGCTGTGCAAATGAGATGACTTTTGAGCCAAGACCTAAAGAAGGTGAGGGAGGGAGTCTAGTGGGTATCTGAGGGGAAAGAGGGTTCTGGGCAGAGGGAACAGCCCATGCAAAGGCCCTGGGGCAGGACCATGCCTGGCGTGTTGGAGGAACAGTGAGGAGGCCCGTGTGGCTGGAGCAGAGTGAGAGAGGAGGGGGGAGGATAGGTCGTGCAGGGCCTGGGGGCCGCGGGGAGGACGTGGGCTTCTCCCCCGAGGGAGGTGGGAGCCCTGGACGGCTGTGGGCAGAGGAGGGACACATGTCAAGCTGCCTTTTCGGATCCATTCTCCTCCCCCTGGGCAAGGCAGGGGCAGCTCAGTCTGTGGCAAGGGGTCCTGCCACCATGGAACACTTTTGGACCCCTCCCTTCTGCTCTCCCCGACGGCAGATCTTCGACCCCCCTGAGGAGCTGGAGCGGAAGGTGTGGGAGCTGGCGAAGCTGGTCTGGCAGTCCTCCAATGTGGTGTTCCACACGGGCGCGGGCATCAGCACCGCCTCTGGTATCCCCGACTTCAGGTCTGTGGGCATGGAGGGGAAGTCGAGGCAGGGCCCGCTGCACAGCCAAGGGCTCCCCTGTGAGCTACAGATCCCTGGGCATTGGAACCCACCCTGCTGCCTCCCCCTGTCTGAGTCCTGAGTGAGCCCCCTGGGAAGTTGGGGATGGGAAAGACCCCTCTCTTTCAGACATGTCCCTTTAAGTCACACCCAACATTCCATGCACACCCATTGGCTGGAACTTGGTCACCTGACCATACCTAGTTGCAAGGGGTGCTGGGAAATGTAGTCTTTCTTCTAGGCTCACTGTGCATGGGTAAATATTGAGGGTTTATTACCCTCGAAGATGGGGAAAATCGACATCAGGGACAGTGAGCTCCACACTCACTTGCAAATATTTTTCTGTCAGACCTGGGGTCTGGCAAGTGGCTTAACTGTCTGGACCTCAGTTTCCTCACCTGTAAATGAGGACGTGAGACTAGGTAATGTCTAAACCCCACTCTGCTTCAGCAGCCTGTGTCAGATAAGGGTCTTGTTGCTGAAAAGCAGGAGTCTCAAACTGCTGGCCCCTGCGCGGCCCCTGTAGGGGCTGAGTTTGCAACCCTGTCTCATAATGCAGGCCTGTTGCATTTGTACTCTCTTCCAAGGCCCCTCGGGCCCCCAGCCCAGACCATCGCAGCAGGAGAGCAGATTCCTCGTTCGTGGAGGATTGTTAGAATTCTAAGGTGTGAATCTCACCCCCCTCTTCCATAACCCGCCACGGCTCCCCATTGCCACATAGGAGAGCTCCAAGCACTTCGGGCTGGCAATGGAAGCCTTAAGCGACCCAGACCTGGATTTCCCCAAACTTGCATTTCCCCAAACTCACAGGCTGTCGCCCGCCCCCCAGGCCTCTGCTCACCCCTTGCGTCTGAACTACCCCGCCCCTCCCTCGCACAATTCAAGAGACAGCTCGGCCTCCTCCAGGAAGCCTTCCCACACTCCCCACGCAGAGCCCTCACCCCAGCCCCACAGGCTGGAGGGTCTTTGTCTGCCTGTGTTTCCCCCCACAAGATCGAGGGCAGGGCCTGGGTCCACTAGGGCCCCAGCATCACCCAGCGCAAGGCCAGGCTCAATGCAGCCGCAGTAAGTGATGGTCAAATTAAGTAATTAATTTTGGTCTTGTGTAGCATGTTCTCCCTCCCTCAATCTCTCTCTCTCCCCCGTCTGTCTCGCTCTCTCCCTGTCTTTCTCTCTCTCTGTCTCCAATTCTCTGTCTTTCTTCTGTGCCCCTCTGCCTGACCCCTAAACTCTCTCTGCATCTTTCCCACCGGCCGCCTTCAGGGGTCCCCACGGCGTCTGGACGATGGAGGAGCGGGGCCTGGCCCCCACGTTCGACACCACCTTCGAGAGCGCGCGGCCCACGCAGACCCACATGGCGCTGGTGCGGCTGGAGCGGGTGGGCCTCCTCCGCTTCCTGGTCAGCCAGAACGTGGACGGGCTGCACGTGCGCTCCGGCTTCCCCAGGTAACACCCGGCTTCCAGCCGCGCCCTCTGAGCCCTGAGCCCCCCGGACCTCCGTCTGCCCAGAGCGTGGAGGTCTCGGAGCCCTGGGCGCTCAGCGTCACAGCCCAGCCAGCGGCGGCTGTAAGATCTCCCTTGCGGTGGAGCGGAGAGGAGATGGGGGCGGGGAGGACGGTGGCCAGGGTCTAGAATGTGCCGCCGGGTTTTAACATTCCTCCTGATTGCTTTTATACTGAGTGCGAACATGGTATTCAGGCGGAAAGACCGATTCCTGGAACGCTTCTCCGCCCCACTTGGCCTGGGTCTTGGGTGACGGGTGGGAGGCAGGCCGGTTGTTTATACAAGTGGACGGACACCCCACAGGCGAGGGACGAGGGAGAGGCCTTCTCTCTGCTTAGAAAGGAGGATGACGCCGCTGTCCCCTGCTCTTTTGAAATGGGCCTGCGTCCTAAGTCCAGCCCCTTGGCATGGAAGTAACATTTCTCCCCGAGTCAGGTAGCTTTTGTGACCTAGAGGTGTCACCAAGTTCCAGGGCTTCATCCATTTCGACAGGTAAATACCTAGGAAATTAACAGTCCAGCCTCCCTGGCTGGGGGTACCCTGGGGCCCTGGCCCGGGCCATAACCGCTGGGCGTCTCATCCTTCCCCTGGGAGTAATTAACTAGACAGATGGCTGCAGACCTAGCCCTCATGGCTCCTGTAGACGTTTCTAGAATGAAAGTGTGTGCTGGGAGAGGAGGCCCCAGCCCCCCAGCACCGACCGGGTGCAGACAGGAGCAAAACGGGTCACACCCCACAACTGTTTACTCAGCGCCTGTCGCCCGCCATACGCTGTCCTAGGCAGGGACACAGAGTTCCCCAGACAAACAGGAAGTCCTGCCCTCCTGGGCTTTCCCTCTAGTGAGGAGGAAACAGGCAGAAAACAAGATAAATAAGTAAATTCAGTCCTATGTCAGGCAGGGATCACTGCCAGGGAGAAAAATACGGCAGGGGGGTGGGGTGGGGAGCTGTGGCTTTTAACAGAGAGGTCAAGGAGGCTGTGACATGAAAGAGGTGACAGGGAGCCGTGGGGAGGAGCCTTCCAGGCCTGATCATCATTCCCTCAAACATCCCAAGAGTTGGACAGTGTTGTCCCATTTCACAGATGGGGACTGAGGCACAGAGAGGTTAAGTGACCTGCCCAAGGTCACACAGCTGGGAAGCGACAGAGCTGGCAGTTGGTCCCACGCTCCTCTGCTTCCAAAGTCCACGCTCCAGGGCCACCCATCGCCTCAGTTTCTTCCTTTGCAAACTGGGAATTAGAATTCCTGTCCTTCGGACCTGGCGACAGAGGTTCTGACACACTTGTGGATGGATTTTGTGAACAGAATAGGCTGCTCATGTGCGAAGGTGGAGTGAGCTGCAAAAGATAATGATTCCTCTGGCTCAGAGAGGTTGGGCCACCAGCCCAGGGTTGCACAGCACGCAGAAGGAGGGAGTCCATGGATCCTGTGGATGAGGGGTCAGGGAAGGCTTCCTGGAGGAGGAGGGCTTGGCGCCAGGCCTGAAGCCTCAGGATCTGGGGAGCCTGCCCCCCCCACACGCCTCTTCCTTCTCCCGCAGGGACAAGCTGGCGGAGCTGCACGGGAACATGTTTGTAGAAGAATGTGTGAAGTGTAAGACGTGAGTGCCACGTGAGGGTGGGCAAAGGGCGGGGGCGACACGGGCGCCCCTTTTGTGTCACTTCCCAGGTTGGGCTCTGCAAAAGGGCCTCGTGAGTTGAATCAGATGTTCCCAGAGACCCAGGGTGCAGGGCAGGACTGGGGTAGACCCCCCCCTGGGGTGGGACTGGGGGCACATCTTCCTCCTGGGGGGTGTATTCGGTTCCTGTGGCCGCTGTAACCAACTACCACACACCAAGTAACTTAAAACGACAGAAATGTGTGGTCTCACAGTTCTGGAAGCTGGAAGTCCAAAATCAAGGTGTGGGCGGGGCCGTGCTCCCTCCGGAACTGCAGGGGAGGATCCTTCCTTGCTCTCCCAGCTTCTGGTGTTTTCCCACAATCCTTGGTTTCCTTGGCTGTAGACGCATCACTCCGACCTCTGCCTCGTCCTCACATGTCACCTCCTCTGTGTGTCTCTCATAAGGACACCAGTCACACTGGATCAGGGCCACCCCACTCCTGTGTGACCTCATCTTAACTCATTACGTCTGCAACCACCCTCTTTCCAAATAGGGCAATATTCCCAAGGACTGGGGGTTAGGACTCCGACATCTCTTTTTGGGGAATGCAGTTCAACCCATAACAGGGTGTGACCCTGGCTCTGGGAAGGCCGAGCCGGAACCCTTCCTGGGGCAGGTGGGCTCTCGGTCTGTCCTCTTGCTGGGTGAGCGGACTCACAGGTGCCAAATTTATTTTGAAAAATTTCAAACGTATGGAACATTCACAAGAATCACACAGTGAACTCATACTTCACCTAGACCAGAGTCAACAAACAAAGGACCAGATGCTAAATATTTCCAGACTGTGTCATGACTATCAGCACTGCCCTTGTGGGCAAAAGCCGCATAGACAGCACATAAAGGAGTGGGCCGTGTGCCAATAAAACTTTATGTATAAAAACAGGAAGCAGAGGGCCGGATTTGATCCTCAGGGCTATCATTTGCTGACCCTGACCTAGATTCACCAATGTTACTATTTTGCCACAATTTGTTTTCCTTCCCTCTTTGTGTTATTAGTATTTGCTGTGCTCTTCAAGGGGCTGACTTCCTCATCCTTTACCCCGAAACCCTCAAGACGTTTATCTCCCACGAGCTACCATCTTCTCCACAGCCACCGTGCAGTTATTCAAGTGGGGAAATATAAAGGATGTAACACGATGATTCAGTCCCCAAGTGCCCCAGTGCTCCCACGGTCGCTGTTTCTTTCCTGGTCTGGGGTCGCGCTTTGCATGTCATTGTCACATCTCTTTAATCTCCTTGATTGGGAGCAGTTCCCCACCTTTCTCTGTCTCCCGCGCTGTGGACATGACGAAGCAGCCGGGCTTTCTGGGTTCGTCAGATCTTTCCTGGTGTTTAGATTCTGGTCCCGTGGCCCCCACTTCTCTAGGAGAAGTGCTCCCCAAAAGAACAAGAGCCGCCCAGGTGGGGCTGCAGGGTGGGCTCCCCGGGGGCAGGCTGACCCGGCCCCGCTCCTCCCCTGACACAGGCAGTACGTCCGGGACACCGTGGTGGGCAGCATGGGCCTCAAGGCCACGGGCCGGCTCTGCACCATGGCCAAGGCCAGGGGGCTGCGGGCCTGCAGGTGAGTGACCCCTCCCCACGCCCTGGACCCCGGGGAGGCGGCGGGTCTCCATGCTAACTGCCCCCTGCCCTCACCATCACAGGGGGGAGCTGAGAGACACCATCCTAGACTGGGAGGATGCTCTGCCCGACCGGGACCTCACTCTCGCCGACGAGGCCAGCAGGTCTGAGCCCCAGATGAGCCCAGGGTGGGGCAGGCGGGAGGAGGGGCAGAAACACAGCCAGCTCCAGCCCAGGGCAGGGGCTGCAGCTCACAAGTGGAGTCAGAGGGGACTTCCTGGAGGAGGTGACCCTCTCTGGGCCTCACTTTTTGGTAATAACAGCAGCTCCTATGTACTGAGCCCTCACACATGCCTGGCCCTGGGCGAGGGGCTTCACACACACCATCCTCACCACGGCCCAAAGTGGGTGCTGACCTGGGCCCATTTTACAGTCGAGGAAACTGAGGCTTTAGCAAGGTGATCCCTCTGTCGAGTGCTACCGAGCCCAGAAGTGACTGAGCCTGAGCAGGGATTTGAACCCAGGAGTCCAAGGGTCAAAGGTCCCGCCCACATCAACAACTGCTTCTCCAGCAGGGTGGGGAGGTGGCTCAGGTCGGGGCAGGATTCAGGGCGGCTGGGAGCTGGTGTGGACGGGCCTTCAGAGCAGAGATGAGTGCGGGGTGAGCCGGCCTCCCACGGCCGCTCAGCCCCCTCCCCCCAGCCTCGTGGGGCAGGAGGGGGGCTGCAGAGCCCCTTGGGGAGGGGCTCAGACTGACCCCGCCTCCCGGCCCCAGGAGCGCGGACCTGTCCATCACGCTGGGCACCTCCCTGCAAATCCGGCCCAGCGGGAACCTGCCGCTCGCCACCAAGCGCCGCGGGGGCCGGCTGGTTATCGTCAACCTTCAGCCCACCAAGCACGTGCGTGCCCGAGCCCACCCCCGACATCCCCTCCAGCCCCCAGGCCCCCAGGAGCCCTCTGCCTCCGCCTGACCCGCCCCCATCCCCATCCCCGCCCCCGCAGGACCGCCACGCCGACCTGCGCATCCACGGCTACGTAGACGAGGTCATGACGCGGCTCATGAAGCACTTGGGCCTGGAGATCCCCGCCTGGGACGGGCCCCGCGTGCTGGACAGGGCGCTGCCGCCGCTGCCCCGGCCGCCCGCCCCCCAGCTCGAGCCCAAAGAGGAGCCCCCCGCCCAGCACAACGGCCCTGCGCCCGCCAGCCCCAAGCGGGAGCGCACAGCCGAGCCCCCCGCCCAGCTCCACAGCTCCGGGCCCGCCAGCCCCAAAAGGGAGGGGCTGAACAGTCCCGCCCCCTGCAGGCCCCCCAAAAGGATGAAGGCCGAGGCGGTTCCCAGCTGACCAGGGGGCCCGGGGAGGGTGGGGTTTTTGTAGAAACCGTGGATTCTTTTTTTCTTACCCGTCTCACTTTGTTACCTGTCTCTGCCCTTCGTGAGGAGACCTCAGGGCGCTGAGAGCGGGGCTCCAGGCCCCGGGGCAGATTTGAACCTCCCTTTAGCTCCAGGGGCCTCTGGGAGGGGCCTGGATCCCGACCTTGGAGCTGACACCCCAGCACCTGCTCCTCCCCCACGCCGCAGCCCTGACTCAGGATGTTCTGGGAGGTGTGGCCGGGCCCTCCCTGGTTTCCAGCCGAACCAGCATTAACTCTCTCTGCCTCCTGGGCCCTCACACTCCCCGAACCCTGCCTCCCCAAAACCACCTTCACAGCCTCTCCAGGAGGGAAGGGAGACGCAGCCACCTTTTCAGAGCCAGACTTAAGTGGTGGGACAGACAATAGAGGCTTGCACTGCCTTTGGGGCTGGAGGGAGAAAAAGGTGGGTCCACCTGACTTCCTCCAGGCTTCCAGAAAAGTCTTCAATGCAATAAAAGCAGAACTTCTTGCATCTGAGTCTTTAACGTCCACAACCTTGCGCCAGATCCTAGTCCCCGGGGCCAGGAGTGCGTGGTCCCGTCGCCCTTGGGCTTCCGTGCAACCCAAGCCGGGGGGCGAAGGTGGGGGCAATACCAGCAGCTGGCATTCTTGGAGTCCTCAATTTGTAATGATATACTTATTTGCCTGATTTTTAAATATTTGTCGTCTGCTACTAGGCTCGAGGAGAGAGGCCGGGTCTTTTGGTCGCGATTGCAGACACCGGTCCCCTCGCAAAGCGGGCAGGGTGGGGTGACGCGTGAAGAGCTCGGCGCAGGTGCAGTTGGGTGCCATCCCTCCTCAGCTGTGACCATGGGCGGGTCCCTTCACTTCCGACGCCTCAGTCTCCTCATCCAGAAAACGAGCAGGGTGGGCCGCCCAGCCCCCGGGAAGGCAGCTGCCCCAGCCCCTCCGCGGGTGCTCTTGAAGGGCCCCAGAGCCCCCAGGGCCTTGCGCTCCAGGCGCGCCCTGCGCTCCGCCTGCCGCCGCTCTCCAGGGTGCTGAAGACGCGCCTGGCGCCTCGCGGCCGCCTCTCCAGCCCGGGGGTCCGGAGGGGCCCCGGCTCACTCCCACCCCGGGCTGGCCCAGCCCCTCCTTCTGGTGACTGGGGAGCCCCAGACTCTAATTCACCCTCCACCCACTCCGCCTCCGCGCCAGCCGTGTTCTGTCAAAATACTTTATTAGGGATCACGGCTGTCTTAGAAAGAGGGGAAGGGTGACTGGGCGGTGGCCGCCTGAAGTTCAGAGCTCGGCCAGGGCTCCGGGGCCAAGGTCCCCGTGGTCTCGGCCCCTTCCTCCTCCCTGTGTGACGCGGGCAGGGGGGAGCGCCGGGCGGCGGAGTTGCTGAGACCTGGTGCGTGTCTGTCCGTCTGGGTCTGTGGGTCAGTCTGCACGTGTCTGCCTGTTTCCTTGTGCGCCTGGGTCTGTGTGTATTTCTCAGGCTTTGTGGCCCATGCTTGCCCCATGTCTGAGCGTGTTTCTGCGTGTGTCTGGGTCCCTGGGTGTGTAGCTGTGAGCTGATGCATCGTCATCGGGGTCTCTGCCTCACCTCCGATCCCCGTGCCTGCCGCTGTCCACTGCAGGGCCCCTGAGCAGAGGGGCCTGGCGGCACGTCCGGGCGGTGCTCACAGCTCCTGCCCGGCAGCCTCCAGCCCCGCGCGCCCCGGGCTGAACGCTGGCTCGGGCGAGGCCCAGTCCAGCAGGGTCGCCCGACTCAGCTCCTCCGAGGAGTTGCCTGAGACCAGGGTCAAGTTGTCCAACTTCTCCGTCGAGTTATCCAGAGCCAGCATGTTCTGCGATTGCCAGTCTGACCCAGGGCCGCCTGGAGACCCTTCTTGGGGTGCACCAGTCTGGGGCCAGGGGCCTGGGGCCTCAGAGCTGGGCGTGGTGTCAGGGGCCACGCGGGAGGCAGCGTCGTTGTGCAAAGTTCTGGAGAAAACTGAGCAAGGGGCGGAGAAGTCACGAGGGTCGGGGTGGGGGCTGGTGTCCCTCCCTTCCTTAGCCCCTCTCCCTCCCTGAGAGGCTCACACTGGGGGCTTGGGGAGCAAAGGGGACTGTGCCCACGGTGCAGCCCACGGTTTTGAGGGCGGAGCGACCCCGGCCCACCTACCTCGCACAGATGCGAAGTCTCCGGGGCTCTCGGCCTTGTTGGAGGTGAAAGGGCTGATGGAGGGGAGGACGATGAGGGCAAAGGAGAGCAGCAGGACCTGGTGAGACAGGGGTGCGGTCACCCCATCCCTCCCCCGCTCCTGTGAGCAAGCTCCTCCCACAGGCGGGAAACTGAGGCCCAGAAGACTGGACAATGCCTGAGCTGGGGCTCGGGGCCGCACAGCTATGCACACTCACCTCCCCCCACAGGCCCCTCTGCCAAGGCTGAGGACCCCTTTATCCCGGGGGCCAGGGGAGCTGGGGGACAGGACTCACGGCTATGCAGGTGCCCGTCTGGGCTGACTTGCTGGTGGACTGGACCACAATGGCCTGGAGTCTCTTCAGCTGCTCCAGGAGGGACCTTAGTGGAGACAGGCAGGCCTCGGCTGAGCCCTACGGGACCTTGGTCTGACTCCCCATCCGTCTCCCGGGTCCCCCAGCCTGGCTGATGTCTGAGTTCTGTCCATCTCTCAAGGCCCTGCTGCTCTTAAGAGTCCCAGACCCTCCCTCTGCTGCAATAAATCTCCATTGAGCATCCCACCCACTTCTCTGCCACCCCTCCTCCCCCATCCAGGCTGCCACCCTCACTCACCCAGACACCAGCCCCAGATTCCTTTCTGGTCCCCCCAGGCCTCTCCTGCCCCCCTAGCGTTCACGCTCCATGCAGTAGCCAGAGGGCACTTTCCAAATGTGAGTTGGCTTCTCCCAACCCTCCCAGGGCTCCCCCCTCCCTCAAGGGAAAAGCCCAAGTGCTCCCCGCTGCCCACCAGACCCTGAACGACCTGCCCCGTCCCCTCCCTGCCCTCCCCTCCTCGCTCTCTCTGCCTTGCTCCCTCTGCTCCAGCCACACAGGCCTCCTCCTTGCTGTTCCTCTGACACACAAGCATTCCTGCCCCAGGGCCTTTGCACTGGCCGTTCCCTCTGTACCAAGACCTGTTCTCCCAGCTCTTTTTGTAGCTGGTTCTTTCTCATCCATCAGTTCCCGTGTCAAATGTCGCCTTATCTGATCTCCCTAAAATAGCCCCCCATCCCAGCGTATGCCTTCATCCTGCTTCACTTTTCTTCCCAGTGGCTATCACTATTTGGACGATCTTTTATATATTTTTGTCTGTCTTGAGTACCTCAACCACTAGACCATGAGTTCTCCAAGTGGAGGGACTTTGTTTTGCTCACTTTTGTGGTCCCAGTATCCAGAACTATGCCTGGAGCAGAGCAGATGCTAAATAGATGTCGACCAAATGGATGCAGCCCTTAGATGGAATCACCTGCAGTTCCTCAACACACTGTGCTCCTAGCCTCTGGCCGTTCTTATGCCATTTCCTCCACCAGAGCAACTTCCCCTTAGTGAACTCCTATACATCCTTCAAGGCCCCAAGTCTAAATCCCCTCCTCTATGCAGCCCGCCCCCTTTCTAGGTGGAGCCCTTACCCCCCTGCTCTGCCTGCCATCACAGAGGCTGTCCCTCACTCCTGCCGGTGTCCACCTCTCCTGCAAGACTCTAGAAGCCAGTTCCCCCTGTCCTCTGCCCCCGCTGGACTGAGACTCACAGGTTCTGCTTCTCGAGATGCAAGACCTTCCTCTGAAGCTCTTGGTTCTGGGCGGTGCAGGCTGACATCCTGCAGGGACAGTGTCATTCAGAATATGCCTGTCAGCAACGGGCCCAACAGACATCTCCCTATGAGGCCCCACTTTACAGGAGGGAAAGCCAAGGTCAGAGAGGGGAAAGTGACCTGGATAAGTCTGTGACAGGGCCAGGATTTGAACCCAGGTCTGCCCGGCTCCTAGGTCCCATCTCTGCATTGGCATGGGAGGCACTTCATTCCAGTCTGAGCCCCCAGGAGGGAATGGAACACCAAACTCAGGCGGTGATGCTTCCAGAAGACCCAAGTTACAGTCCTTACCCTCCCCATGACCTTGTGCCACTCTGCTCTCTAACCTCAGTCCCCTCATCTGTAAAATGGGGTTACAATGACCTAGTTCCCAGAGTGGCTGGGAGAAGGACGTGAAGTAAAGTTGATGAGGGGCTTCACAGAGTGCACTTGAGGAACAAGACCATGGTGATCACTCCATTTAGGGTTCTGGGGTCCAGGCTGGGGGCCCCATCTTTCCCATCTGCAAATGTGGTCTTGGCCCAGACCACTCAGATGTGGAGCTGAAATGCTCAAATCACAGCATAAGGATATGCTGGTCCTCCTCTCACAATCAAGCAAGAGAATAAACTCCCCCACGGAAAGACCATCCTTCTAAATAACTCATGGGATAAAGAAGAATCCTCAGTGTAAATGAGGGATGACCCAGGGACCACATGGTAATGACAATGGTACAAATCAAAATGTGTGAGATGCAGCTAAAGCAGTTCTGAGAGGAAAATTAATAGCCTTAATACAGTACAGCTCAACAAGCTGAAAACACACACATTTTAAAATTAGCAAAAACAAACAAACAAACAAACCCCAACAGAATAAACTCCCTCCAAAATAAAACATCAGGGAAAGCTAACGACAGAAACGAAAGAACTAGAAAACAAAAATACAATTGGGTGAGAGGAAAAGCCAGAAACCCATTCTTTGAAAAGAATAATAAAATAGACAAACCTCTGGCAAGATTGATCAAGAAAATAAAACAGAAAGAGAAGGCACAAATGAGCGACATGAGTTGCTATAAAAAGGGCATAACTATAGAGAGTGCAGAGCTTAAAAAATAATAGGAGAGAATGATGGACCATTTTATGTCAGTACATTTGAAATGGACAACTTCCCAGAAAAAGGTGACATCCGAAAACTGACTTGGGAAGAAATAGAACACCCAAGTAGACCTGTCACGTGCCATGAAGTCACTCTTGGTCTAAAAAGTGAGCTTCGTTGTTATTAAAGAAGAAAGAGGAGACTGTCCCCTCTGTATCCTAAATGGGTTAAGAGAGAGGTGATTGGAGGAAATTGGGGTGCACGGTTTGTAAGATGAGGAAGTTCTGCCAAGAATGAGCCTCCTCCGTTCTTCTCCCCCTGACCCAAGGAAGCCACGATAGCTCTGAGGACCAGTGATGCTCAGACAAGGGATGTAAGTGGCCCATCTTCAAGAAGAGAGCCAGAATAAGATGGGTAAGACCTCCTTTCTTGGCACCACATCTAAGGGATAAAGAGACCCTGAAGCCCTCACCCTGGACCATCTCTGGGCATCCTTCCATCCTTGTAATTCACATGGAAAATGGTCTGTCCCAAGAGAGGACCTCAGTGTGACCTCAGCCACACTGCACCCCTCTTTCTGGCCTCAGATCTGCCCCTCCCCCCGAGTGTGGAGTCCAGGGCGCCAGCCTCACCGAGTTTCCAGACCATCAATATATTCCTTCTTCTTTTTCCGGCTTTCTTGGGCCGACTGTTTGTTCCGGATTTTTCGGCGGATTTTTTTCAGCACCCGCTCCTCATACTGCCGAGGGACATGGTGGGGAGGCTGAGTCAGGAGAGAGGGTCCGCTCTGCTGTCTGGACCCCACAACTTCACCCCGTTCTCTTCCCGTGTGAGCCACCTGAGACCCAGGGACCTGGGGGCAGATTCTCGAGGACCTGAAGACAGCTTTCCTGCCCCCAAATTCTTGCAGAGTCTCTAGAGGGGGTCCTGGGTCCTGGTGATCTTCCCCGCTCCCAACCCCAGTTAGTAACCGGCCACCAGACTTTGTACCCTCGTGCCACTGCACCACCTTCTGGCCATCTCTGGGAACAGCCCCTTTCCGTATCAAGACTAGATCTTCCAATGGGAATGGCAAACTCAGATGTTGGCATTGAGGCTGGGTGGGGACTGTGGCACACTAGAGAGCCCCGCGAAGACGGCTTTGAGGATGATTTTTCTGGCTCTGGTGACAGACATGTCCTAATATTTTAGTGTGGGAGGCCCAAAGGTGAGACCCACAGGCAGGTAGCTGCAGAAGGGGGAGAGATCCAGAGCCAGGGGTCCCGCCAACTCACCTTGGTGAGGGGCAGCTGGGTGGGCAAAGTGATGCCTTCCTTGGCCAGCAGCTTCTTCTCATCCTCTGTCAGCACCAGCTCCTGGCAGTGTCCAGTCCCAGGTCGCAAGAGGTAGGGAGCTGCCAGACGATGCTGTTGCTATGGGAAAACCGGGGGAATTGTGTTGGGGGCAGGAGAGAGACAGCCTCCAGGGAATGAAAGAGGCATCCAGGAATTGACCCTACAGATACCCTCACACGTGTGCAAAGGGACATATGTACAGCTTTTTAATTTGTTTAACAAAGAGTCATTTGACAGCTATGTATGGAACAGCTACCATATGCCAGGCACTGTTCTGGGCTCTGAACATTCATCACAGCGCTGTCTGCAACAGCAAAGGATTGGAAGCAATGGAAATATCCAACAAACAGAGGACAGGTTAAATAAGGCACGGCACGGCTGTCCAGTGGAGTACTACGCAGCTGTGAAAAAGGATGGGCTCTCCAAATCATGGGACAGAGCAATCGCTAAAATAAACTGTCAAGTCAAAAAAAATAAAGGGCAAAAACTGTTATGTGTAGTACTCTACTTTTATGTTAAACTTAAAAACACAAAAAAAGAAGGAATCTCTTTGGAAGGAGACATTGGGACCTGTGTGGGGAGCTGGGTGTCTGGGCAACTGGGGTGACGGGGTGGGTCTCTCCATATACTCATTCATGCCTTTGGAACTTGGACTGCATGGATGCATTCACCTATTCAAAATAATTTTTTAAATTATGAAAGATGAACATTAAAAATGAAAGAATCTTGTCATCAGAATGTCAAAGGCTTAGAAATGTCATGCCACAGAATGGGAGACTCAAGAATAAAGGTGGAGAATGTCCATCCTGGAAGGTTATCTTACGCCCCCCATCCCTGTCCACGGCACCTTTGCTGAGAAGCCATGTGGAATCTGGTGGGACCGCCTGGGGGGCGCATTTTCCCTCGTGGTGGGCTGGGATCTGGCTGCACGATTACAAAAACCAGTGGCATTTCCAAAACATTCTCCTTTCCCATCCTTCAAGGCCTGCTGAAGTTCCGCCTCCTCCAGGAAGCCTTCCTGGACCTGCAGTGACCCTCGAGCCTCTCTCCCTCATCGGTACACTTCTGCGAGCAGTCAGTTCCCTTCTTGACCATGAGATCACCCCATAGCTAGAGCTCACCGCTCATCTCTCAAGTTGTGAGGGGCATTCCGGTCTTGCCTAGAGGTTGTCAGGACTTTTGGCATCAGGCAAATTGGAGTTCAAATCCTGACTGAGCCATTTGCTTGCTGTGTGACTATGGGTTTTTGACCTAACCTCTCTGGCCTTTGTCTCATCTGCAAAATGAGGGCACTAATTGGGTTGTCAGGTTTACGAGTTGGTTTACTGGTACTCGAAGCCCTTAACAAGGTAGATGGCCCTCGGTCAGTGCACAGTGGCCACAACAGGCCTATAGGGCCAGCCCAGGATTGAGTCTGCAGCAGCTGTGTGGCTTATGGCGAATTACTGAACCTCTCTGTGCCCATTTCCTTACATGTAAAATTAAGATAATAAGAGCCCCAACCTTCAGGGCTGCTGGGAATTGAAAGACGATACATTTAAAGCATTTACAAGAGTGTCTGGCCTATGGTAGCTGTTTGGTTTTTAACTCTTAGCTATTATTTTTTTTCACTACAGTGGAAAGCGCCCCAGCCCAGGAGGTAGAGACCTCAGGACTGGAACTCACTGACTTGCCCTGGGTGTGACCTTGGGCAAATCCCAGCCCCTGTCTGTGACTCAGTCTGCCAGTCTCGGAAGTGGGAGTACTGGGGCCCCGTGAACCCCGGCAGCCCTCCTAGCCCTGATGCGCCGGGGGGCGGGGTGGGGCTGCTCACCAGGTCCCCGCCGCTGCCCGAGAGGAGAAGGTCCTTGACTGTGAGTTTGTAGTGCGGGCCTGAGTCGGCCTGCTCCTCAGGGTGCAGGCCCGGGCTCCACATTTCTGACCAGGGCAGAGGGGGACAGAGACAGAGGGCGTCAGGCGGGGGCCCTGAGCTCCCAGCTTCTACTGCCTCCTCCAGCGAGGCTCCCAGGATTGCCCCAATGTGCTGGGGACGTTTGGCACAGCTTGGCGGCCCAAGGCCCCAGTGGAGGGGAACAGCCCCGGCCGGTGCCTCAGTCTCCCCTCTGGGAACCCAGATTCATCAGCACGTTGTCAAGGGACCCACTGCCAGCCCAAAGGGAGCGGCTGCTACCACCCCGGATTATAGGCTAGATGTGCGGCCAGCCGGGTCTCATCCCTGCCTCGGGGCAGGGGCAGGTCTGATTCACCTCCAGTTCCCTCCCGCCTGGCCCCTGGCACACTGGAGGCGAGCCGCTCTTGAGAGCACAGACTTCCGAGTCAGAGAGCCTTTGGTTCTAACCCAGACCGGACGGAGCTGTGTGACCTTGGGTAAATAACTAAACCTCTCTGAACCTCAGTTTCATCAACTCTCCAGTGGGACTAATAAAAGCTCCCACCCTGTTGCAAGGCTCAAGGGACAAAGGATGCCTTGCTGGGGGTGTCTTCTGTTCCCCGCGGCCCGGGACCCCACGACCTCACACACTTTCTTGGAGCATTGACTATGACCCAGGCGTGGGAGGTACAAAGACGAGGTGGCCCATGTGACGCCTAGGGCCTGAGCCAGCCTGCCCGGGTTGCCTCCCAGCTCTGTGGCTCTGGCTCTTGCTTAACCTCACGGGGACTCAGTTTCACCGTCTGGAAAATGGGCCCACGGCAGCATGCACCTCGAAGGGTGGGCGTGAGCTTCCAGCGCCCGGAACCAGGCGAGGGCAGCGAGCCGGGACGCAGAACTCACCCAGGTCAATGGTCACAGAGGCCCCGAGCATTTGAGTCACCGGCCTTGGGGGCCTGGCAGGGCCGGGGGGTCCAAGACGGTAGGAGGGCCAGGGCCCCTTGCCAGGCTCCACGCTCTGGCAGCCCACGTGGGTGGCAGCCGGGCCACTGCATGGAGGGCTGTCCTGGGGGTCGGAGGGCAGATCTTCGGAGACGCTGCTGTCGCTGGCCGCGGGAGACCAGAGCGGGGAGCTGGCCACCGAGTCTCCAGAAGCCAGGATGGAGTTGAGGAGCTCATCAGAGTCCGGAGCTGGCAGGACCTGCTGGGGCCGAGAGGGAGGGGTGGGAATCAGGAGGTCTGTGCTTTGCTCTGGATTGCTGTGTGACCCCGGGCAAGCCACTGACCCTCTCTGGGCCTCGGTTTCATCACCTGCGGGAAGGGGCCTGCACAGGACGGAGGGGAGTTCTGGCTGGGGCGTAGCCGGCCACCCGGGGTCCTCACCTGGTCCTCGCCCAGCTCCACGTGCCTCAGAACACCGTCCTGCCGATCGAACAGGAGGTCCAGGAGCTCCAGGCTGTCGATGGGGCCCAGCGGACCGGTGGAGGAAGCCATCTGGGCCAGGAGGGGACAGGCAGGCGTGGGGGTCACGTGGCCCGCCTCCTCCCCGCCTCCCGTCTGCACCCCACCTCGTGGTCCCTCCAGCTCCGGGTCGACCCCCACTCAGCCCCCCGCCGCCCTCGCTGGGCCTCCATCTCCACATTTGTGCTGCGGGGCGACCCCGAGAAGCCCGGGCCCTGAGAGCCGATTTCTTTAAAAAGGGCTAGACAGATGCACGAGGGGGGGACCAGGCTGGTCGAGTCCCCAGAGGCCTTGGAACCAGCCTTCTCTGGCCCTCCCAGCCTCCTGGGGGGCAACCTGGCAGAGAGAAGGGACAGCCCCGGAGTGGAGACATGATTTTGGCCATTGCAGCCTCTCTCTGGGCCTCAGTCTTCCCATCTGTGCAATGGGGGTGGGGAGGGGTCCTTCCACCCCTGGGAGTTGGGGACCGTCCCCTGGCACAGACCCTCCGTCCCCCATGGATCCGGGCAGGCCTCACCTTTCCAGCCGCTAAATCCCCATACAGGGGCGCCAGCAGCTCTGCTTCGCGCTGGAGGCTCAGCCCACGGGGCGCCCGGGCTTGCCTGCTCCTCTCTGGCGCTGTCACCACCCCCAAAAGATGCTGAAATAGTCCCCAGGAGCTCCCAGCCTGCCCCCGCGCGCTGATTGGCAGACGGGCAAGACGGACAAGGTGAAGGGCCAGTGACAGCAGGGCAGGCTGGGGGAGGGGAGGGGAGACCGTTATCTCGGTGTTTTGTGCTTTTCCAGCCGCAGTGACCAAAGGCCGAAGTCTGGGGCCCCTGCTCTGCCATGACCTCTCCCCTACTTTCCGAGACTTTCCCGGACACCGCGGTTCCAGGAGGCCCCTGGCCGGGGCCTCTCCTCTCCCAGGACAGAACAAGACCGGGAGGACCAGCCCAGGCCTTTGCTGAAGCCAGGAACTCCCTTCCCTCCTCTCAGCGGAGCTGGCAACCCCCTACCCACCCTCTGAGCCCTCCACAGCTGAACTCGCACCATCAGTTCCTTCTAGAACCTTCTGTTGTTCCTTTATTCAACAAATACGTATTGAGCCAAACTGGTTCCACCTCAGGGCCTTTGCACGTGCTGTTTCCTCTGCCTAGAACTCCCCTCCCCTTTCCCCGACTATGTCACTGCGTTCACTTAGTTGGAGTGTTCGATATTTGTAAATCAGCCCAAATGGCTGAGAGGCCGCCTCTGACCCCCCAGCAGAGAGTAGCCCCCGCCCTACGCCTCTTTATCACATCCTGGTTTCCACGGAACCACTTGCTGTTTGCAATGTTCTTGTTTGTTTGTTTACTTGTTTATTTCTCAGGCCTCATTCCTCCCCTCCCTGCCCAACCCAAGATGGGAGCTCCTTAGAGGCTGGAATAGTCTGTTCTCTGCTGGGTCCTCAAGGCTAGGAAAGTGCCTGGCACACAGTGGGCACTCCATCAACTCTTACTCGTCGAGCCCCTCCTGTGTGCCAACCACTGTTTCAGGCACGAGGGATAAAGCAGTGGAAAAGCCAGACCATAGATGCATAAACAAACCAGTAAATGGATAAATGAGTAAGTGTTACCAAGAAATGAAATGTAACCATGGTAAAGGGCAGCTGAGGGCTGGAAAAGCCCCCATTTAGAAGGTGACATTTAAGTACAGCCCTGGAGGATGAGAAAGAGCCAGCGTGGGGAGATCTGGGTGTTCCAGGTGATGTAAACAGCCCGTGCAAAGGCCCTGGGGCAGGACGGGGCCTGGCGTGTTGGAGGAACATCAAGGAGGCCCGTGTGGCTGGAGCAGAGGGAGCGAGGGGGCGAGAGGGAGGAGGGAGGGCAGGGAGGGGACAGGGCAGGTCGTGCAGGGCCGTGCAGGCTGTGGCAGAGTTAGGTTTATACTAAATATAGCAGGAAGCTATTGGGAGCTTATCGAATGGATGACTAACCTAGCCTTCTGCATGCCTGGCACATGCTAGATGCTAGGTTTCCAGTGGTAACCCAAACATGCGCCTTGCTTTCAAGAAATGCACATCCTGGTGTGTGTTGCTCGATGACCAGTCGCCGATTATTCATGCAACAAAAATTTAATGATGGTTAAATTTAAAAACTTGATGATGGTTAAATTTAATTTAATAATGGTCCTACTATGTGCCATGCATGATGTTATTCTTTTATCCGACAGTAACTCACATTACAGCATTTGCTCTTCAGGGGACATGGGGCCATGTCTGGGAATGTCTGTGGCTGTCACACTGGGGGTGCTCCTGGCATCGAGTGGGTGGGGCCAGGGATGCTGCTCGACCCCCCATGGTGCCCAGGACGGCCCCCCACAGAGAGTGACCCGGCCCCATGTCCGCAGTGCCGAGGGGAGGACCCTGCATTACGGTAACTGTCCCCCCCTGGACGCTCGAGTCATTATCTGGCCCTCGGCCTCCAAATCTTTCTTATTTCCTTTTTAACTGCTCTGTGTTGGCTTTTTAAACGGTTTATTTGGTTTGGCTTGGCTTTCGTGATCCAAGTCATAATATTTATTCAGCCTCTGCTGTGGGCATTTTTCCAGGCAGTCACAGTGGGCGTATGAAGTGGGTGACATTCGACTTCTGGACTTCTCACTGCCCTCCCCCCCCGCCCCACTTGTGACTCAGGAGCCCCAGTGCCCTCGAGACAGAGCTCTCCCTCCTCTCAGCAAACCCGCCAGGAGAAAGGATGTGACATCATTCATTCATGCCTTCATGTGGATGGAGACCCCATAGTCCCCCTCCCCAGGATATTTGCATTTAAAATTTTTTTACGATTATGGACTTTAAAAGGCTTTTGTACACCTCAGTGAAGAGATACCTGAACAGGTAGGAAAAGAACAAGCATTTGAGTGACAGGAGGACTTTTCGATGCCCTTGACATCATATTATCTCATTTACTGAACAGGACGACATCTTCAAAGCAAGGCTAAGTCTGAATCGAAAGTAAAATTCTCACAAGAGATTCCACCAGCATGTTTAAGCGCGAAACACAGCGCAAAAGGATGCTGCGGTCAAATGAGATTGAAGAACGCTGTGTTGATAAACCGCTTTGCAGAACTTATCAGAGCCTTTACGATGCTCCGTAATGATCTTGGAGGGGACAGAGTTTGTAGCGTTTCCTGAACGTAATCGTGCAGATTTTGAGAGTGTTGTTTTTAATCTCTACTTGATTTATTCTGAACCATTTCTGACCTCTGAAAACGTTTAAAGATACCGACTAGAAGGACAAAAATAAAGGATAACATCAGATGTTAGTGGAAACTGTGGGGCAACTAGAACTCTCACCCTTGTGGGTGGGAATCAAAGTGGTCCAACCACTTCGGGAAGCCTTGGACAATTGAGCGATCTCTTATAAAGTGAAACCTGCATTTACCGTATGACTTCGCAATTCCACTGCTGGGTATTTACCAAAGAGAAATGCAAATATGTTTTCACAGGAAGACCGGTGCAGGAATCTTCATAGGGGCTTTATTCGTAATTATCTCGAACTGGAAGCAACTGGAATATCCAACAGCCGGGGAATGGATACCCCAGCTGGTATATCCACACAGCACAATACCACTCAGCCCTAAACAGAAATAAATGACTGGTATATTAATTATATTAATATAGTATATTTATACTATAATAACATGCAACAATATGGATGAATCTCGAATGCATTGTGCTGGAAGAAATCAGTCAGAGAAGAATACATATTGTATGATTCCATTTATATGAAAGCCAGAGAACAGGCGAAAGTAATCTTTGGTGACAGAAAGTGGGTGCCTCGGGTAGAGTGGGGAATTGAGGGGATAGGGGTGTGAAGCCACTTTCTCGGGTGGTAAAAATATTCTTTACCTTATTTTTAGTGGTGGTTCCGTGAGTGTATAGAATTGCCAAAACTCATCAAATTGAACACACAGGAGACCTGGGTGTTATTATTGTAAATTAATTCTCAATAAAAAGTATCCGAGTATAGAATGAACAAGCATGCCCATAAAACATTTAGTGAAACATTAGAAACAACCAAGATATCTATCAATAGGGGATTGATTAATGGAGTCTGATGCATTCACGTGATGGAATACTACGTAGCTGTGAAAATGGCTGAGGATTCTCTGTATGTACTGATATGGGGCAATATTGAAAATATATGGTTACATCAGTGTTTCTCAACTTTTGTTTTAGTTCTTGCCCCTCCAAGGAGCCTTTGAGGACATTTTTTCCTGATTGCCCCCTTCTGTGAAATGTTAATGCCATACACATACTGTACATCTGTTTGTGTACTGTATGTTTATCCATGCTTTTCTCATTGATCCCCCTTCCTTTCCATCCCTAAAGTTACCTCAGGTGGTTTCTGACAGTACAGGGGGAAATGTGCTCAAAGCACTTTGAGCTAATTCCGACTAAACTGTGAATGACTGATATCAAGCACACATACTCCTTTCTTGGGAGCATTGGTATTTTCTTGTGGAGCCTGAAGGCATCATAACTCAAAGGTTAGTTCTTAGTTTTTTTCCCAGGGCAAAAATCACCCGTTTCAGATGTTGCTTAGATATAACTAGATCTAGCTAAAATGTGAATGACTGAAGTTAGGTGACCATATTATTTTTCTTGGGAAAATTTGCATTTTCTCATGGAGCCTGAAGGAATGTAGCCCAGATCTATGTTAGCTCTTAACTTTTTGCCCAGGACGAATCCTTCCCTCTGTGGATTTCAGATGTCCAAAAGCCACTGGGCTCTTTGTGAAACACCGTGGAGTTATGATATTCAATGTCACATACTTAAACATACAAGCTTCGTACCTATAAAATTCCAGCATCTAGTTTAGGGCACGTAGGGACCGCTTCCTGGCCCTTTGCTGATGGGAGATGGCAAACTGTACCAGATTCTAGCTCAGACAAGTGGTAGCTAAAAGTCAGAAAAGGCTGAAAAAAATTCCAATGAGAGGACTCTTAAAATTGAGAAAATGCTACCTATTTTCTCTGCAGCCTGGGGACAGGTTCGTAGGAGGCAGTATGATTCAGTGGCTAAGGACTCTGAGTTTGGAGCCTGATGGACCTGTGTGTGAGTCTACCTTCACTCTTCACAGGTGTTATCTGAGACCCTGGAGAAGTCTCTTCATTCCGAAGCTCCTCTGTCTGCATCTATAGAATTGGCATGCTGGGGATGCCGAGCTGCAAGGAGTGTAGGTTTGGGGCTGCTGGCCGTCATCACCCCATGGTGGAAGAAACTGCCTGAGAATGAAGTCTGCCCAGAGAACAGCAGAGCAGACAGAGAGCAATCAGTCCCTGACAACATGGTCTAAAGTCCTGGATCCAGCCATGCCTGAAGTCCACCCTTTGGCTTCAGACACATGGCAATGATGTGAGTCAATGAATTCCCTTTTGGTTTGGAAGTTTTGAGCAGAGTTTCTGAACCTTTCACTGAAGAAAACAAAAAATGGAAGAAGGCTAACTATTCACCTTTAATTTTAAAAATTATATATTATATAATTAAAATATTTAATTATATATTATATAATTAAAAATTATATAATATATATGAAAGCCCTCTCAAATATTGTGGGTGAATTTTTACATATACATATAGATCTGTGTAAGCATCTCCCAGATAAAGACACAGAACATTCCAGAACCCCAGAAACCCCTCCCCAGTCATTCCCCA